AACACCATGGGCCGAAACTGTCAGTAATCTCGGTGTAAAATATGAAAATTAATGAACGTTTTGACAAACTCCTCCAAACACCTTTCTGTGGTTATTTTTTCAGTTTTTAGTTTTTATGTAGGATTGTTTTTGCGCTGCACTGTTTTTTATATATAAAACCCGCACATTTAGCTCAGTTTCTGTTTTCTGATGGCCTGAAAACCCTCCATTATAAACCTTTTTTTACCAGTTATTTTTATTCATAATTAGTTTGAAKGTAAAACATGGACATTGCAACCGGCAGAACTTATCAGGTGGGAAATGACTGTTTTCTTTAACTATTTAAAATCATAAACAATTTATAAATGATCACAGACAGATTCATTTATAACGTTTTTTGTTATTATCCATCAAATTTATTGCCTTTATCTGTTAGAGATTAATACTATTCTGTTATAAAATACATTATATTTCAGCACCTGTGTAAATAATTTACATAAAGCCGCAAAAATATATTTCGGCCTCTTTCAAATAAAAACATAAAATAAAAAGCAGATATTTGTAGGCCTACTTAAAGWAAAATGTGCTTTTATTTTCCACATCAAACAAATGTGCAAAGGTACACCTGAATGTTTCACTTATTACAGGAGTAAGAATTTTTTTTAAATAATTAATCATAATAAATCTACTGCTTCCTGCTTCTTTATGAATCCGCGGGTTTGCGGGATGACGCATAAAAGTCCGTGTTGTCCATTTCCTTTGRTGCCACGTGCGTTTCTCCCCACATAACATAAATTCCGCGAAATGATTCACTTCACAAGCGCCGCTATGAAAAGACCACAAAAAAAGAAGAAGAAAGAATAAGGCCACCATTTTAGCCCCTGAAAGAATCCACCCGAGCAAGAGGCTCCGCCCCCTTCACTTAAAAACCCCGAGCACGTATCCGCGGCTCGACCAATGGGAGCCGTCCCACTGCCGTTTCTTAGCAACGCCGTAAAAAAACTACGCTGACGTCCATTCTTGTTTCGCGAGTATTATGGTCTGYCGGGAATTCAGAGTGGCTGGGACTGGAAGGAGGGAGGGTGGAGGACGGGGGGTCATAGCCGCCGCAGCAGCACCCAGCTAACGGGGAGGTAGCACCGGAGTAAACATGGAGCTGTCCGCCGTCGGGGAGAGAGTGTTCGCCGCCGAGTCAATCATCAAACGGAGGATAAGAAAGGTAGGCGGGAGATGGAGCGTGCTCTGCTTCTCTGAGAGAGCGGAATACAGTACAACACCGGTGCTGTGGAACACTGTGACGCTGCATGCTAAAGCAGCGCGTTTCTGTTTGTTTCTGATGGCATGCAGGGTCGGATCGAGTACCTGGTGAAATGGAAAGGCTGGTCGCCAAAGTGAGCAGGTTTTATATGTCGTCTCTGACGTGTTTTTGAACCCGCAGCTCTCGGGTGTCTCGGCTCGGAGTGTTAGCTTTCCGAAGCTAGCGGGATTAAAAACAAGCACACGAGCTGTATAAATATATATTTAATAATTGTCATTAGCTCGCAGGCTAACGCCGCCCCTGTCCGTCTGTTTCCCCCCGCAGATACAGCACCTGGGAGCCGGAGGAGAACATTTTGGACCCCCGCTTGTTTGTCGCTTTCGAGCAGAGGTGCGGACCGGCGGAGGACAGGTCCAACAAAGTGTCCTTGGTGCACTTTGCTCCTGTGACGCTTCATCATGTCTGTGTTTTTCCACAGGGAGCGAGAAAGAGAGCTGCATGGGCCCAAAAAGAGGGGACCAAAACCCAAAACGTTTCTGCTCAAGGTAAACTAAAACAGAGCTTTTTATTCCTTTTTATTTCATTTTTATTATTATGCTTCAAACTGCATGKCTCTAAGCTTTATTAAAGGCTTTGGAGAAACTAAAAACATTTGTCTTTCCCTAAACAAGGACGTTTTCTGCTGATTTTGTGTATTTTTGTAATAATAAATTACATTATCTGAAGTTGCATTATATTAAAGACAACACATTCAAGACAATAATATTTACAGCATTCAAATACATATTTTCCTTATCAGCTTTTGTTTTACTAAAACTAATTATTGAAAATTAAAGTTGTACAGAGGCGAGGAAATTTGAGAAGTATTTTTAATACGTTCATTTAAATACCTGTGATAAAGTGTCTTATTTTATCTGTAAAAGCAGAGTTTTTGATGGTRGTCAGTTAATTCTGCTGTTTTTACAGTTTTATTAAGTGACAGTGTCTTACAATACTCAAACAAAACCTCTTCTTTTAGTATTCTGTTCAACACTGAACATTTTCCAATAACTGAATTATTGTTTCTTGTGTAGCAGCTCAGTGCTGTCCTGTTCTCTTTGCATCATTTTCTGTTATTTTATCTATTAAACCTTTATTTAACCGTTTCTCTTACGGTCATTAACATGAAAYGAGTCGCTCATTCTGTGGGATAACTTTATATTTTTAGTTTGTGGAGACGTCTGGAGGAAGCCTGGATAAATAAAGCGTTCAGTCGACTTGTTTACTCGCAAACAAGTTGTGTTTCCTGCTTTGAATACCTTAAAACTCCCGCCAGCAACGASTCAGCAGGTGTTTGTATTTTTCCTGCTGCTGAAGCAGATCTATTTTTATTGGTTACCAGGGAACACGTTGATCACATGAAGGAAATTTACCCAGAATTCCCTGAATTTACTTCCTATTTGAGGCCAAGTCAGGGCTTCATTTTTTTAGTTTTAGCTCCAACAAAATCTGTTTAATTTGACTTATTATTTATTTTTATAAGGATAAAAAATATCAGAACTTTCRTCAACAAGCAGTCTCTTAAAAAACTGGAAGTTCTGTGTATTTTTGGACTTCAAACCGTATATCCTCTGCTTGTTAAAAGTGTTTTTATTAATATTAGCTGTTTGAAATGAATTCCTGTTAATGTGAGGCATTAAGGCCTGCTCCATCAGGTTTTCTCTTAATTAACTCTTTTTCTGAGTAAAAAACACAAACCTGTTTGTTAAATTGAGGAATGTTGTCAGTAAATCAGATTTATTAATGTATTAGTTTAATATTTATTTAAAATAAAACCTGGAAGGGTTTCTGTTCAAACTGTCTGAACTGTTTCTTCTCCACAGTTAAAGCCAAATGTCGCTTTAGTTTCTTTTTTTGTCTAATTTTTTATTAACTCTGGTATTTTTTAAATTTCTTTCAGGCCCAAGCTAAAGTTAAAACCAGGTCCTACGAGTTCAGGAATGAGGTGGTCCGAGGGATCACCTACCCAAGCCCCGAGCCRGTGGTCACCCCCAGGGCCCGGGAAGGCCTGAGAGCCGTCGTTCCCAMCATCTTCCCCCCGAGCGCGGTCAACCGTGGGGAGAGCGTGTACCTGGGGGCGTCCGAGCTGGGCTTCTACGACCTCCAGCAGCTGGATTCAGACGGAGCCAGAAAGAGGGGGCCGAAGCCGAAGCCCCGGCTCGTGGACGGCAGCTGCGGACCCTCTGTTTCCGAGCCCCACAAGAGGAGAGCGGAGGAGCAGCTGAGCCACGGCTCGCACAAACTCACCAAAGTCCAGGGGGGTGAGGAGGTGACCCACAGACACCCAGAGAACCACAAGCACCACCATCTTTATCACCACCATCATCATCATCACTACTCACAGAGCCGTGACCCGTCCGGCAGCACCCCCTACAAGCAGCTGTACTCCCACCGCCTCCTGCAGACGTACAAACCGGACTCGCACGGGTCCAAGTCCGGTTCGAGTCACTTCGCTGCCGTCCAGCACCGCTCCAAGATGAGCCCGGGCCGGCCGGCCACGCCCCCTCGCATGGAGAAGCCCTACTTCCTGGACAGGCCRTCGCCGACTCGGGTCCTGGACGACTCGGACGACGTGACCTGGAGGCCGAGTCTGAGCACCGTGGACCRGGTTCTGGTGACGGACGTGACGGCCAACCTGCTGACGGTCACCATCAAGGAGAGCAGCACCTCGGAGGGCTTCTTCACTCACCACAGATGATTTCTGCAAGCTTCCTGTGTCCTCTGAACTACTGTGTGATTCTTCTACAAATCTTTCTGTGTAAAGTACATAAAAACAGTTCCTCCGTGTTTATACGTGTAAATATGAGAAAGTCTGACATCTATTTAATGTATCGACCAAATTAAAGAAGTCCATTTCACCTCGTGCACTGCTGAACGTCATGTTTGGTGTTACTTCCTGTCAGAGTTTAAAAAATTCAGTTTTTCTAACAAACTAAACGTATTTCTAACATTTGTTATAAAACCAAAAGGCCTATAAATTTAATTCAATTCATTTTTCTTCCATTTGAACCAGTTCCCTTCAGATGGGTGAATTTAAAAAAGAAACTAAAACTGAAGCACTTTGAATT